AAAGGCTTAAAACAAAAGTTTTTTGCCTGTTCCTTAGTTGTTTACTTTGATGTTTGTGCTTGTGGGGACCCTCTGGTGGTACCCACATACAGTGAGCAGGGCTAACATGCTGTATCAAGCTCCGCCCCCCCCAAAACAGGACGTCTTCAGAGTTCACAAAGGTATTTCCAGCTTGTGAAATTTTATCCAGTTTCTTCGAAGTTTTGGGGGGAAAGTTCAGGAAATTGAGTACACTTCTGTTCAGAAATCAGAGAGTCTAGGTCCTCTTGGAAGGACAGAATTCATATTTTCATGTTACAGGGATCACAAAAAAATATTAAGATGGCATTTTTCATATAACAAAACTAAGAACTTCATTATGTTGATGTTTGTGAGGATATTTTGGCATACTCTGATCTCATTATGCATGGAATAACCATAGAAGTTCTCTCTCTGAATAACAATACACCTTTTTGGTATATTTTTTTGCCTTTCCCTGAAATTAAATAATAGCATGAGAAAGACTCTTTTAAATCATACTGCAGCATTGATAACTTTTTTAAATTAATAAGTTATGTGTTTTGCATACATAAGCATAAACGTTACTTGGCAAGAATTACTTCTTACCACATTGTTCTTAAGGTACAAGTAGAAAGGCAAATCAATTTCTCATGGGAAAAGTGATGTTGATGAAAGTAAGCAGCAAATCAGGGTATTAATTTAAATTATGTGGTGTTAGCCAAACTGAGTGACGAAGCAACATGAGCCATGACGAACAATGATAAATTAGTTTATCCTGAAGACAAATTCTTTATAATTACGTTACAGACACTGTAAAAAAAAAAGGCACTCAAAATAGCTACAGATTACCAAGCAGCTCTGCCTTCTGTGCGTTCTCTTTATGGACACACTATGATTCCATGATTCTGTGACTTACATAGAGAAGATTAAATAGCAGTTGTATTAGAGGTGATTGAATCCACATTTTATAGCGAGACCAGATTCTACTACCTTTCCATAAAACAGTACCGTGTTCTGAAAACAGTTCTATTAGCTTCACTGGTGCTACTGCAGAACAAAATTACTGCTTAGCACGAGTAAGGACTACAGATAGCAAATAGACAGCATTCTTCTTGCATTGACAGAACCAAGACAGTTGCAAGAATCTCTGGCTGAATTCTGATATGGAATGGAATCCTTTTAGGTAACAAAATACATTAATAACTTTATATCTCATTATGAAAGTTACGTTCTGCTCTCTGATGTTCATGAGAGATTAAAGATCAGATGTGAAGACACAGCCAAGCCAAATTAGCATTTTGTTGCTGCTGGGAGTAGTCCTGCTTCTTTTTCCTCCCTCGCTTGTTCTGATGTTCATCTGATCCTCTGGTAAGTTGATTGAGGTTACCAACTTGCAGAACACTCATTCTGGATAGATTAACTTTCTGCCAGTGAATTGACTCACTGAAGGATCGCATGAATATCGGAGCTGATACAAGGAAAACATCAGGAGTGTGTGGCTGGAAAGGGGAATGCTAAGAGGAGGAGAGAGTACAGGACCTAGTTTTGGCAGCAGTTGATCTGTTACATCAGCTCAGCAGAGTTCCTCTTACTGCACTTAGCATCTGACTGCTTGAAATCAGTCTAGTTTTCAAAATGCTGGTCTGTAAAATACTCGGTATATTCAGAGAGGTTGGGCTACCTGAGAAAAGTAATGTCAAGAAAATAATTCAGTTCTACCAACAATGAATTAGTCAACTGGGAATGATGGGCTTTCTGCTGGTATGGTGAATGACTTTGACTTTTTCAAAGAAGTCTTCTTGGTAAACAGGTGAAACCTATTACTTTCAAAGCTTGTACTTCTCATTTGCAAGTATTCTACCATTCTATGAAATTAATTCAGTTGTCTCAGCGATATTGTGGATATCGTGTTGCAGCACAAACCCAATGTATGTGCTGGGACACTGGCCCTTGCAGAGTCATTCATGGTGCAGCCCTTCCTGGACTGGGATAAATAGCAAAGTTCTGCTACATGTGCTGTAACTGTACTAAAGAAATATGCAATGTCTGTCTCCTTAGGCGATCCAGAATTCTTTCATCATCCGCAGGCACAGACTTTATGCTTTCAGAAAAAATACATATGCTTAGAATCATTTAAAATACACTATCGGGTATATTGTGTTTGTCCTAAAGCTCTTGAGCTGGAAGTAAAAAGTGGAGAGAGCCTCAGAGGCTTACTGTTCTTTAGTGCATCTGAATAACGGGTGTTCTCAGTGCTATTGCTTGCCTTTGCAGTGGGCCATGAGAGGACTTGAGCTCGTGCTGCCAGGCTTAGTTTTTTCTTTTTATTCCAAGGCAGGATACAAAAGGATCCAGAGAGTCTACCTTTTACTGACCTTCTGGTGGTCTGTGGGCAGGCAAGAAGTTGCGTATTTCCCTTTGAAGGTTGCAAAAATGGCTTTGTTGACTGCAGCTAGGGTTTTAACATATTCTTTTGCCTCTGTATTTCAAGCGCCATGCCTACATTATACTGATTTGTTAAAGTTCCACAGAACAGGATCAAGAATGAGCAATGTAGTGTTAATCCTGCATGTCAGCAGTGCAGTGTTACCTCTTTCTGTGGTGGCTATCCTGTTGCTACCCAGTTAGGGATGACTCTTTCTTGCTTTTGATTGGAGAAACTGTGGTTTGTAGTTTGCTAAAGCTTTTCTGTAAGGTTATTCATGTTTCCTGCCTACACATGTCCTACAAACAAACACTGTGAAGTCTCAGTTCCTTGAATCTTTGATTAGAGGTAAATTAAGGTATCATCTCAGAACAACAATATTGGGGAGATTCCACAGGCAGTTGCAGTATTTACAGTGAGTAGAGGTAGCCTTGTAGTGACAGTCTAGGAGTAGAAATCACGAGGTCTGAAATCTGTTCCTGCCTTTGTCCTAGACTTAGTTCTTAATATAGACAAGTCACAGCATGTCTCTGCTGTGAAATGGGGATTATACCTGCCTACTTAACAACAGTGTAAGTTTGCTACCTTCTCTGAAGAAAGAAGGTTGTAAAAGAAGTGCAAAGTGCCATTTCAACTCTGTTTGCTTTTCATCTGAACTCTGGATTTCCAGGGTGAAGGAAAATGAGTATTTGTCTTACTGTCTCAGACCCCTTTGGATCCAAAGTACTGCAGCTGGAAAAAGACTTTTTTCTCACCCAAAGCTTCCGATTTTTTTTTTCTTCTTCCTCATGTATTTTGGAAGCATTCTCATGTTGCCGCATCTGCCTCTGTCTGTTATGCCAATAAACTGTTTGCATGCTGGTACTTCTGAATTTTTGTCTAATATAAATTTTTTTCGGTTTCTGATACGCTTTAATTTCTTCAGAGCTGAGCTTTGGCTGCTCTGGATGTGCAGCCGTAGAAGCTGTGGGGGCAACTAAAACCATAAACCATTTGACTAATGGCAGCTGGCTTTTTGTCCTTCCTAATTAAAATATGAAAATGGGAGAGATATCCATGTTAGTGTCACTTTCTCTTTGAATTTCTGCCCAGTGGTGACCCTTTGACTCTACAGATTGAAATATTTGTGTTGCTTTATCCGTTTTTGGTATTGGTATAGAGATTTTGAAACTGGCAGGTATTTTTTTCTTTTTACTGAAATAGTCCTTAGTTTGGCTTTTACAAACTTTCCCACCCAACCTCTGTTTTATTCACTGCTTCAGTGCTGCTTTGCTTCGCTCTTTGTAGCAGTTAGGAAGTGAAGACAACAAGTAAAATAGTGTTCAAAACGTGGAAGTGCTGGTTGTATGTTTGATGCCTGTTGGAACGTGTAACACACCCTGCTGTTCCCAGCTCATCTTTTATGATTCATTAGCACCTTCTTGGAAAAGGTTGCTCCTGCTAGACTAAGGGGAGGGGGGGAAGGAGAAGAGGGTGCCCTCTTTAGCCTTTTCGTGTATTTTGTTTTATTCCTCTGTATTTATAATGGCCTGGCTTGAAGGCTAACACCTTCCTGTGCGTGCCAGTACCTATTTTTACCAGGCGTCCTTCCTTGCATCGAAGACTTAAAACTTCATATTTTTAAGATTAAGAGGTAAAGCAATTAACAAGGCTTCAAACAGCCTCTTGATGGAACAAATCTGTTCGGGCACCTTTACGCAGTGTTAGTAAATTGCTGGAAGTTTGCTTTTTATGCTTTATTTTTTCTACTTTCTTTGGACTGTCTTGATAAGTTACCTGTTTCTGGAGTAACAGACAGATTAACAAATTACATAAATATGAAAAATACCACATTGCTCCTTTTTTGTAGCTTGGGGTGCCTGGTAGGAGTTTAAAACAACAAACATCCATCAATGTTGTTTTCCTGGTTCAAATGGCAACTGTTTGAAACATCTGCTAACAGTACGTGGATAACATACTTTATTAGAAGTCATGTGTCTGGAGAGTTGTATCTGAGCCAGCGTGTTTTAATTTTTTTTTCAACAAGCTATGCTGCTGATCTTTGCTCAAAAACTAGGCTCTTGGCTGATGTTCCTCAACCTCAAAGCATGTAATTTGACCAAAGGAGATATTTTATTTTTCAACAGTTGTGAAGCATATAGGTATGTGAAGAGCAACGAACTCTGGCATAAGCAGCCTGTCACATTATTCAGTCATTTCTGAGCTAAGCTTATTGCTATTGATTTTACGAAGCACTCCTAGATCTTGGCTATGGCTGCCTTTAGAAATGGGGGTCAGCACAAGTTAAATACAGGTTTTGATCTGTTTTCGAACAGCTTTGTTTATGCTTAGTTTTTTTACCTCCTCTGTTGGTATATTAGAGTAAATCACTCGCTTGAAGGAAATGGAGCAATGCTGAGGAACAACTGCTATGGTTTAGGACCTTGTTGTTTTTGTTTTTTTTTTCTAATATGTTTGGTTTAGACAACAAAAGATCTCACAGAGAGAGAGAGAGATGTAATATTTAAGCATCTAGTTTAGCCTTTAAAAGGAGTTACAACATCCAGAAACAGACGTTTTTGTCTTACTGTTATAGCCAACCTCAACAGTAGATCCAATGTTTAAGTTTGATGTAGCAAATGGTGAGCTGTACTCTGTCAAGATTCCGGTTTACATAGTTGCACTAATCGAACTGGTAAGGAGTGAAAAGTCTGTTTAATAAATTTTCACAAAGCTTTTAGTTGTGAAGAGGTAAATATAAATATTTGCAGTTGTGAGGAACTTTGAACACATCAGTGAGGTAAAATGGAATAATACAGTCTTAATTTAACAAAATAATTTAACAAAAGGCAGTATCTCAATTTTCCACCGAAGTCCTACAGTCAGAATGAGTTGAATTCAGAGGAGGAGAAGGATTCATGGGGAGAATGGTTTTCAGCTGCCCTTATGTTGCCTAAGGCTGGGGTTTTTTTGGTTTTGTTTGTTTCCTGAGTGTGTGATATTGCAGCAATCTCTGGCCTCTACCCAAAAGGGGTTTGTGATGCTCAGAGATCATTCCACTTCAATGACAATACACTTCATCTCCCTTCAGCTTCCCCTGGAACATCAGAAGGCAGTAACACCCTGATGGTGAAGTGTCTTGCAGCCATATTGCTACTACTTCTCTGTACAGCAGAATCTTTCCAGGTGATTGCTGCTTTGGTGAACTTGCCAGTTATAATTCACCCTTGCCCCTTAAGCCTGGGCTTTCTGTTTCTTGTCAGCTGCTTCTGTGGCTGAGAAAAAAGAGTGAGGAGCAGAAATTAATTCCCTCTCTCCCTATATGTGATCATTCAGCCCTTCTCCTGATGTCTCTGGAGGCATTGGCATTACTCTCATTAACTAGTTAATCCAAATGATGATAAATACTTATGGATTAAAGAATAATCTTCATGATAATACAGGTTCGTTTTCATGGGGTGTCACCTCTCCATTTTGTCTACAACATATAACAGTTACTGCAGCACTTGGAATATTTGCCTCCCAGTTGGCCACTGAGCTCTTTAGCTGGTAGGATGGCAGCCTCTGGTACCTTGAGAGGCTTGTGGCAACGCTTGCTGTCAGCTTTCTTTGGAGAAATACTTTGGTTTACACTGAGAACTAAGTTCATGAGACTAACGAGGCATGGCAAGCACTTTTTTCCCAAAGGTTTACCCACAGAGCCCTAACAATCCTCCTTCCTGGTTGTTGAGAGGCTCCAGTTTATAGTGATTCTCCTTCTGGCAGAAACTTAAATGGATTTGGGCTAACCAGGGGAACTGGTAGAGGAGTGCTCAGTCCACTGCAACTCTATCAAGTTATGCTTTACCGTGTTGCTAGCAGAAGCCATTTATTGGACAAATCTGTAACAGGATTGCTTATAGGTTGCACTGCTTGGTGCTTTGAATCCATATCGATAATATAATACTGTGCATAACCCAGAAGTGTATATTTTTGAGATAATCTCATTTGTACTAGCTGTGTGTTAGAACATGTTCAATGATAGCGAATAATATTTTGCCCAGCCAAAGAAAGCTGATAAATTTTGCTACATCAGGACTCTTCTGTCCTCCCCAGTATTATGTTCAGGCTTCGGAGCTGAAACTGTGCTTCAGCTTTCCTTCGCTGCTTTGCTTCTTTTTTAGGATAGATCATGTACATGTTTGCAGTTTCATTTACCAAATCACTTTAGGCAGCATTATTGCCTTCTGCCGTTTTGTGCGCAATGTAAAGCTACCAAGCTGTAAGCTGTGCTAGCAGCACTGAATGTCATTTGTCAACTTCTGTGCTCACTATTCTAGTTTTCCTTTCCCTCCTAATAAGGTTGTTCCCCTGTTACTGACTTTCTTACTGACAAGCCAATCACACTGTTCAGTGGGAGAGAATTGGGACCGAAGCTTTTTGCAGAGGGGATGTATAGGCTCAGCTGCGTGTTAGGATTGTGCATGGTGCTGTCCTGGTTGAAGATGGGACTTGTAGAACTGCAGTTCTGCTTCATTACTTACAAAGGTACTTGTCCACCAGGTCATCCATGATATTAGTAGTACCCTTAGCAGACTCTTCCCTGGAGAGAAAGTACCTTTGAAGGCTAATTGTTTGCTTCCTCCACTGTTTTGGTGGGTTGACTCAGCTGGCAGCTTGCATGCTGCCCATGTAGAGGAATGGGGGAGAGAATTGGAAGGGCAAAAGCAAGAAAAAAATGTGTGGGTCAAGATAAAGACAGTTTAAGTGAAGGGGAGGGAACCTAACTAAAAAAACCCGAAACACAACAAGTGACGCAAGGGCAGTCACCACCAGCAGATGGATGTCCAGCCTGTATCTGAGCAATGGCTACTTAGGAAAAACACCCCCCTGCCCTCCCCACCCAACTCCCCCCCCCCATTTTATGGCTGAGCATGCTGTTAGGTGGTATGGAATAGCTCTTTGATTCAGGTCAGTTGTCCCGACTGTGGCCTCTCCAAACCTAACAAGGGTGGCAGAGTGAGAGACAGAAGGCCTTGATGCTCTGTAAGCAGTGTTCAGCAGTGGCTAAAACACTGGCGTGTCAGCAACCCTGTTTTGGTCACCACTCTAAAACACAGCATCATATGGGTTGCTGTGAGTAAACCAAACTCCATCCTGGCCAGACCCTGTACCACTGTGTACTGTTACTGACCATGAGGCTCCTTTATTTTGGAATTTCCCCTGTAACAGGTTCATGAGAACATATTGCTGGTCAATAAGGGTTCAAGCATTTGCTTATTTGGTAGCTGAAATCAGACCAAATTCTTAGATTAAGCTGGGATTAACTTCTAGTGTCATCTGTACAGCAGCAAGGATCTGAAAAGTAAGATTCTCAAGTTCAGTGTTTTGCTTGTAGTTTAGTCATTGTTCAAACCTGACTGAAATGGAGAGACATGGATTCGATGGATGGAC